AACGGATGATTAACAAAACTTTCTTTTTAGATATCAGATGTAACTTGAACTGGTAATTAGAATTTTCTTGGCACATCTTTAGGGTTGTTTGCCCCAGCCTGCCAGCCTGCCAGCCTTTACTTTCGGCGCACTCATGCAATTCTTTGGAAAAAATCTTTTGCACAGACTAGAAACAGCCAACTGAAACTTACTTTGCATTATCATTACCCATCATTTTTGGCTTCTTTAACTATGAGCTGAGAGATAAGTGAGTCATTGGTTTTCCTTTTTGTTATTTTTTTCTGTATGCTAGGGTGGGGATGTCTTGCAGTTTTTTTTTTTTTTTTTTTTTTGTATTAACAGCTCCGTTCAAAGGTGTGTTAATGAATACACAGCTTTTCTGCTGAATTTCATCTGAGGCTGAGTTTTATGAACACGTATTCTTCAAATACGTCAATGAAATTTGGTGATTATACTTCAGGTGAAAGTGACAAAAAACACCATTAAGTGTTATTTTCCTAACTACTTTAGAACCAGTAATCAATTAAAATGTGACAGAACTTTCTAAATGTGTCAGTATCTGTTAATAAACCAGGTTCCAAATAGGTATCTGGTTAAAGCAAATGTTTTTGTCACTGTTTGTGCTTCTTTGATTTTTTTTCCTTCATTGTTTTAGTATTTAGTCAAACTCTCCTTTAACACTTTATGTTCTTTAGCTGTTTCCTTTGTACTTTTCAACCACATTTAAACATTATTTTCTTTAACTCTTTGTGACATTTTGCACGTAGAGGAACACAGAGATAGTCTTTATCGATTCCTCTTTGTTTTAGTGTTTGGTTCAAGTGCACTTTTATTTTCTCTGGGGTTTTAGTAACTTAATGTGTATTGTTAATATCACCACTGTGTGACACTGGACCTGTCTTGATTTGTTGAAATTTATCAAGATATTTTGGATTTAGTGAAAATTCAAAGGTTCAAATGTTGTTGTTATTGCAACACATCCTATGAGATATCTTTAATTAGAAAACTAAGAAATTGTTTTTTTTATTATTGTTTTTTTGTGTCCACCACGTTACTATTATTACACCTGTTGATGTTAATTTTGTGTCATCATATTAAGGCTTTATTAAGGTTCTACACTGGGATGGAAAATACAAATTAAGGGCTTTTACTTTTACTTTCTTTTTGATAACGATAACAAAATGCAACATAACTGGAAAGCATAGTTGGAAACATCTAGCATGAGTTACAGCAAGTTTTTCCTCTTGGTGTCAGAAAAAAATCCCCCTGTGTGAAAAAACATTAAGATATCAGTTTGCTGTTAAAAGACTTGAATGTTTTTTTTTTCTTCCTCTTTTTCTCCCAAACACACAAATACTGATCTTGGTAACTTTGAAGATAAAATCTGTGGTCATTGAACAAATGCTTTTATTATATAAATGCAACATTAATATATAAATTATATATTAAACCTTAATATATAAAAGTGATTTTTGTGAAAAAGAACGTGCTTCTCAATCTTTAAACTAGTTTTAAACCTTTGTATTTCTGCATAACAGACAGTAAGTTTAAGGTCCCCTACCGATGGCTGGATGGAAAGTTGTGTTCTATGGCAGTAAAGCAGCTGAGAACCATCATACTACCAACACCATGCTTGACTGTAGACATATTTTTTCTCTTCACTCCCAGAAAGGTTCCTTCAGCCAAGATATGTTTCTTAGAACTATTGAGGATAATGAAGGAATATCTTGGAAAAAAGTAAGATGTACCTTTGTGTGTTTAAAAAAAAAAAAGATTTCTAGATTGTAACTCTACCATGGATGGAAGTCTCTGTATTAGCGTTTAATCCTGAACACTGACCTTAGTTAAGGTAAACCTGCTCTGCCAGTTTTTCTGTAGCCTCCTTGATAAGTTGTTTATTCGTTCTTGGAGTCATTTTAATTGTAACTGATCTGAGACTTTCTGATGTCAATGACATTTGTTTTGTTTTTTGTTTTTTTGTTTATAATTTTGCTTTGTGTTTTCAGATGGGGCATATTGTGTTGTTTGTTTTAGGCCAGCATACTTTAGGTTGCCAGAACCAATAAAATGATGTCTTGATTCTAACACTGTAGCAGTAATCAGGTTTGGTGTGGCTTGTGAAACTGTATTAAAATGGTTTATCTGATGAATTTAGTAATTTAGTGAGTAGAGAAATTTATGTATTTTTTAAATAGATGTACGTTGATTTAGATTGTTTTTCTTTGCTCAAATGCCTTTATTTGAAAAGAAAAACAACTACTTTAGGTATTTAATCAGGTTATTCTTGTTTGATATCAAAATTGGGCTGATTGTCTACTATAGAGGTGTTCGAGTTCAATCCACTAGAGGCTCGATCCTGAAACCTTTACTGTAGATGCATCTTTTCTCCAACATACTCTAACATTCCACATTCTCCAGTAGGCCTCTGAGGAGCTGAATGTTTGTGTCCTGATGAGGAAGTTCAGTCATTGAATCAGGGAGTCATCTGAAATTTGGACAAGGCTCTATCGAGAGTAAAGCATCTCAACAGAACAAAAAAAAAGCAAAAGTGTAATAAATCTGTCAATAAGCAAATACTTATTTAAGCATAAATGTTAAGCTTTGTCTATCAAAAGGTGACCTGCAGTGAACAGAATGCAGAAAGTTAGAAAATAAACTCATCTCATGTGTAGATCAAAAAAAATTTGACTACCAAATGCAGTTTTAAAGAATGCAGTCGAGCGCTGACAAAGGCTCTTCTGTTAACACCCCTGTGTCTGTTAGAGCCTCAGGTGTATCAATTTTCACCCAGCAACAGGTTGAACTGGTTGAAATTAACTGACAAACCGCAGCATGCATTTCAAGCAATGACAAAAATGTAGCACAGCTCTCCATAAGACAGTGACCTAAATACTGAGCAGAGCGAGCATGACCGTGACTCTCTGAGCTATCTGATCGATAAAAATCATTTGAACATGATCCATTTAAAGGGATCAGCTCTTCCAAAACAACCTTTTCTGTTCTGTCTAATCAGAAATGCAAATTAGAGACTATTATTAGTGTGGAGAAGGAGGAAGTAAAGAGTTTCAGATGACAAGAAACAGACTAATATTATGAAATGTTTGTATTTACTTTATTCCCCAGGAAATAAACAATAGGCTGAAAATAAATGCTTTGATTTATTTTTTCTTGTGGGTGAAGCTATCCACTATCCAGCTACTGTATAAAGCTATCCACATGCAAACAAGGTGCGTTTGCATACACTATCCCTCTGGAAAATCTGACCTTTGAGTTTTTAAATTACATTACTCCATTGTTGATATTAGAACCAAAACAATTTATGATATCTGCTGATCTTATGAACATTTTTAGAAGTTTTATATCTACAGTGCCTTAGAACAGTATTCATAACCCTAAGCTATGTCACATTGGATCACATCAGAAACACAATGTTCAATGTAATTGGTGATGACTGTTTTTAAAAATTGTACATTAATTTCTTATCAATGCTTTGTAATCTAGTGCTTCTAAATAAATCGGTTGCAACTAGTTACCATAAGATGTTAAGTCAACAGAGCTCCCTTATATGTGATTTAAAGTCAGTATATACTAAGCCATTATCTGTTAACCTCAAAAGGTTTTTTTTCTGAGTGAACAAGCAACTTCAAGAAGACCAAACAGGTCAGGGAGAATGCTTTGAAGACATTTAGCTATTTCCTATTTGCATTTTAATTCAATGCATTGGTTAAAAATAATAAATAAATAAAAAAAAAAAAACAAAGAAAATGGATCTTGGAGATATAATAAAAAATGCACTTCTCTGCACATGAGAACATTAAATTAGGAAGTTTCCAAAAAGCCTGTAGTAACTTTGGAGGAGTCGCAAAGATCAACAACTCAGTTTGGAAAAATAGTTGATGGGAAACCAATTAGCTGTTCACTTTTAGGGGGGGTGGCAAGGGTTAGGGCATAGAGCTTGGAATCCTGAGGTTTTGAGTTCGAGCCCCACTCCCACAGACTGCCACTCTAAGGTTGCTAAGCAAAACCCTTAACCCCACACTGCTTCACTGGGCGCCCCACGATGGCAGCCCACTGCTGCCCAAGGGGATGGGTTAACTGCAGAGGTAACATTTCTCTAATGTGAAATCAATAAAGTTAAATTATTATTATGGCTGCTATGAAAAGCTTAGAGGAAAAGAGTAAAGGAGTCATGAAATCTACAAATTAAATTTTCTGACAAACTGGAAGGGACACAGAAAAACGCTGAATATGAAAAAAGCACATAAAACATAATGTATTATGGAAAGGCAACAAGGCACATTCATCTCAATGGTGTTATGGAAACATCATTGCGGGATGATGAACATTTTGAAAGGTGGGAAACTAATATTCCCAGAAAGCCTCCAACTGACCTGATTTAACCCAAGAAAAAAAGCATTTTTCCTGTTAATCATTTAGTCCTTCCTTTATAGTTCCCCAGTATCTGCTGTTGTGTTGGTCAACAGAATAATTTCTTAATCAAGCTGTGTTTATAATGAGACAAATTGTGAAAAAGTTAATAGGATAGAAACATTTATGTGCTTAAGAAAAAAAAAAAAACACCCTGGAGTAGAATGAAACTCCCCAGATACTGTGTTTCAAAATGACACCTATGAGATGAAGGCCGGTAATAAATAGAAAACCCAAGTGCGTATGTGTTTTCATGTCTGGGCATGCCATCGGTAAGTCCCTCTTTCCCCCTGTGATTGACACACACCAGCCACTGAATGTCTGGTGGCTCTGGGGACCCAACAATGGGCTCCATTTGGCCCCTGAGAGGTGTGAAACGGCACACTTCTAGCCGAGCCCCCCTTTGTAGCAGGGATTGATTCAGCAGACAGAGGCAGCAGCTCACAGGGAGTGTGAATCCTGCTGCTTATTCACCAGGCAGCCAGGCTGTGACACAGCCCTGAACTCCTCCCCCTTCACACACACACTCACTCACACACACTGACTTTATCAACTCTCTCCCTGCCCAGCCCTCACAGTACCAGCCTGACTTCTGCAGGGAGCACACAGCTCTCTGGATTCCACCCCTCCATCACTGACAGTAGGCTACAGTTGCCTTCACAGTAGAGCAGCATGGGGAGCAGCATTTCATGTGTGCCCCAACACAACTTCAGGTTCTCCAGCAAGAGCTTCATTCGCCGAAACAGGTAAGAAGAGCTCACCTAAACTCTGTCACCATAGACCTATTCTCACAGATCATGTCATGTCCTTCACTGCACCTGGTCAGTTTGAACTAATGATATCAGCTGGAAGGGATTCTTGGTATCTGACGGTTTGAGCAGGAGGGGTTGTGAATTTTGTGAGGCTTGGTTCTGGATCAGATGGTAATACTGGATGGACACCGAGCACAAGTGTCAGTGATCTAGTTACCATTCGCCTCTTCCTAACATCCCTGTGAAGATGATCTTCCAGCTGTCAGTAAATCTGTTTTAGGTTAAAGAAATATATGGGTTAAAGTCATTTAATCATAACTGAACTAAGAAAAAAACATTTTTCTTTGCTTTTCTTTTTTTTTTTTTTACTCCATTTATATTAAATCATTGTATAGTGAGGGACCTGCCCTCTTTAAAAGCAAAAATAAGTGGATTATATTTTTGTTTTCTATGTAGTTTCTTGCAGCCCTCTTTGATTGAATGTCTGGGCATGTCCCAACTTTGCAGAACCGTCACATCTGATTCTGATTAACCCTGAGTAGATGCACTTTTTAAGTCCTGTGATATATAGTTAATTGTCTAGTTTTCACTAATGGGTCACTAAAGAAAATGCTAAAAAAGTAAAAAAAATCTAAGCAGCTTTAACAGGAACAGATTGGTGACCTTCCTAATAGGATTCAGGTTTCCTGTTGCATTCTCACTCTTTGTGTCACTGAATCAGGTGAGGCTCAGGTATTCCTCAAAAAGAATGAGAGCCAGTGCTTTTGAATACAGCAGCAGAGACTTGGGGAATGTTGGGTGTGCAAACCTATTACTACCTGTCTATTATCTACAATGCATACCTCTTTCCCTTTGCAACTGCAAGGTTGCATGACACTGGGAGGCTTTCATACCTTTCATACTTTTTAAGTCCCTTTAAAATAAAAGAGATTTAAAAAAAGTAACACTATCATTCACTTGACAGCCGTGAATGATTATTGTTGGAATTGGACTTCCTGAATAGACAGACCGTGTTTCCCACCATGCAAACAAAAGCCTGCGTTGTTGTAAGGCGAGGACACTGGCACACATGTGTACAGATAAACAGATAAAGCACAAGCTGACAGTGTAAAAGTAACCCCAGGATTTTATCTCTGCAGCGAGGGTGCTTCCCTATTAAATGTGACAGTAATGGTAACAGATGAGCGACATGTAAAACAAAAGGCTGCATTGAGAGCTGATTTTCCTATGCATATGCTCACCATCAGAGGCACAAGACCTGATTGTCCTATCTTTTAAATGGCTGTCATTGATGGAATAAAGGCTAAACTACTAACTTTGATTGACTTTTAAGAGAAGAGACACAAAACATGATTAACATCCAGTAATCTGCAGCAGCACTTTAATTGGACTGTTGCTATTTACATGTATTCTCTCCACCAAACGTAGGACATTGTTCTTTCTAATAGGAAGATTATTCTGACAAAGGCAAAATGATTATGGAGCCGATGTTTGAACCTTGCAGTTTATCCATGCAAAATTACCTCAAACTGCTTTGTGTCTTAATGTAGCTTATGTCGCAATGTGGTTAAAATATTTTCCAGATATATCAAGGATTGGCATTTTACCAATTTTAAAACTAAATACTTGCAATTTTATGTTGTATGTGCTATTTTCAGACGAAGAATCATAATTCAGAATATCTAAATTGCTAATTAATTCAGAGGTTATGTAGTTAAGCTTTCTTTTGCACGTTAGCATGGTTAGCATAAGGGTTCCAAAGGTTTTCAGCTTCGTTCTCACCAATTAGCAACTCTATCATAATAGAATATTATATTTAAACACATCAACAGCTTTTTGTTAAAAATGTTGCTGTACTCTGGTCAGCCTTCCTGTTTTCTCCTGAGAGTCTTGCTCTCTCTCACTCTTCTGTAGCTTAAATCACAGAATGTCTCAAGATCTTTTACATACCTTGTTTCATCTTTGTTTATTCTCTTATATAATTTAGAAAAAAAAAGAAATACTATTGAAGAAAATAGCCAACTTTGTGATCAGAAATGCTACTTTCACTGGCCTAAAGAGACAGATTTTTCTGTAATACAACATGACAGCCAGGCTGAAAACCAGCCCATAACATGAACTAGGCATTTTTTCCAGTGAATCTCTAATCATCCGTTATATTTTTTGTCTCTCGAGCAGCAGTCGCCTGTTTCGCAAGAAAAATCCCCAAGAGGGACAGGAGAAATCCAACAGTATCATAAATATCCTTTGCACAGTCACCCCAAGGAAGGTAAGAAACCCTTTCATCTCCACTGAAACAGCAATAGCACAACAATAAATCATCCGTTCAACACAAAACATGCGCTACATGCAAACATCTCTTAGTATCTTCAGTTATAAAACCAGTTTCTGTTTATATTTCACTAACATTGGGGCTTGTTGCAGGAAATGTCTCCTAAGGACCTGCAGACGATAGAGAACATAAAATGGGACCCTCCGTTCGCCTATGACCCGGTCAGTGGCTGGAAGAAGAGTAGCATCAATGTGAAGAATTTTGGACGAATGATTCATAGCTCCAAAGTCCGCTTCCGGTTCCTGCACTGTCAGGTGAGTGGAAGAAATTCATTTAGCAATGACTGCATGATGAAATATCAGGAAAGCAACTGCAAAGGAAAACAAAACATCACCTGTAAAATCCTCATTGTGGTTTGTAACAATGACCAAGCCCAGAGTGACACATCCTCCCAGTCATCTGTTCAAAGCCTGGGAAGTCCAGATCTGAACCAAACAGCTGGAAAGTAACAGGATGTTGCTCTACAGCTTTTCAGAGCACACTTTGGTTTTGACGTGGTGGCTGGTTGTGAATAATCTCACCAGTTTTCCTCAAACAAGACTGTAAGCTTGTGTTTGGACATGCTCTCCTATGCTGCAGTTGTGAAACATCCCCAACAGAGTTAGAACCTCAGGGTAAGAGAGAGTTGCTCTGATCCCACGGGCTGATAGAGGACATGCCGGCTTCTTGCGGTGGGAACTGTAATTTTTCAGTGCTGTGACACAACAACACTGTCAGAAACCAAAGGGCAAAGATTGATGAAAGGAAAAGCATCATGATGGCAAAAGAACACAATGTATTTTAACATAAAGAAAGGATCCAGCTAAGCTCAATCATTTTATGAATCACCTAATGAAAAGTAAACAAACTAGCATCATTTTTTGTTAACCTTTTCTATAATTCCTGGCTTTCCAACTCTTGTGCAGGATATACACGACTGCTACCTGGATCTATTCGAATCACATCTTCATTTTGTCTCCAACAACACAACTGGACTAACGTATCAGGTGAGCTCTTTTTTCCAACTTCTAAATCCAAAGTGACCATGATCCAAGTTTCGTATTTCATATTTAAAAGTTAGATTTCTTAAACTCATACATTTGGATGTGCCCCCCTCCTGGCTACCAGCACGTTGTTGGTAAACAGAAAGTATGATTAAGTTTCAGCAGTCTCGTAAAGCGTTAGCGGCCATTAATCATGGGTTTAATGAGCATGCTAAGGTCTCAGCTCCCCGTTAAGGAGAGACAGCTACGCACCTGTAAGCAGTCTTAGTCAGACTGCAGATGAGCTCAGAAGGATACAGACAGGGATTCATCGCTGAGATACACAGTCTGACCTCAGCATCATGGGGTTTGGTTTGTTAATGTTTAACAAGCCGAGTGAAAATGCAAACAGAAGGGAGGGTGTTATGGCCATGGCCTTCTAACTGGTGTAACACAACTTTTAGTGCAACTTGGGCTGGAAATTATTAATTAAGTGCCGTGTAAATGAAAGCGATGCTATATTTGACTAAAAGGTTGAAACATGGAAAGACATAAACATGTCTGCCCATAATTTTTTTTACAATGAACAGTCCTGTGCATGTTTTAATGGAACTCCAAAGGCCAAATGTAAAAATCTACTTTTTTTTTGCTATCAGCAAAAGGCTTCTGATGCAGGGAAGCCAAGAGTATGAAAACTTTCCCGTTTATCTGCAAACTCCATACGGATCCCATTATTAACTTGCATTTATAAAACTAATTGTCCTAGTTTTCCTTGCTGCAGTTATATTTGGTCAGTGTAGTGGATATTGGAAAAATATTTACTAAAAAAAAAAAAAAAAAATTGAGCACTGCTGTGATAAAAGTATAAGCATTTTGTCCTTGTTTGTTTTAACATGTATGATGATGATAAGGCTTTATTTTGAACACGTTAAAGACTATCATTCAGAACCATAATAGTAGTAGTACTAGTAGATGCATATATATTTTAGTTTAAAATACACATAGTGTGTGCTTTTACTAATGCATTTTAATTTAAACATCTAACAGTGAGGTAAGACAGTAGAACAACACCATTCTTCTTCCCTGTGTTTTACAGAAACTGTACCTCTTTTTAAACTGGATCATGTTTCAGCTCCAAAGTGTCACTACATGCAGCACCGTAAAACATATAGCCTGGAAGCTGATTATTTAAAGCTTTCTATATTAACATGCTTGTCTTTTTTAACATTGCACAGGGAACTCTGCCTTTGAAGGAACTTTCCATCTGCAACCTGCAGCAGAACTGTAATCACAGCCAACCTGAGGAATATGCCTTCCAAATAAATGGTAAGATTGTCTTTACAAGAAATGGTTCAGGCAGGGGTTGGCACAGAGTGCTTGGTATGTTATAATAATCGGGTTTGTTTTATTGGTTATTATCCCGAGGGTTTAGAAGTCAGATCTGGAGATCTTTTTGAATTTTAATGTTGTTTACAAATGTAATGTGCATATAGCGGCTGTTTAAGTATGGTGTTGATACAACTTAATGTGTTCTACTGACTGGATCGACCCAGAGGGAGCACTATTTTCAGGCTTTACCCCGCTTCAGTGATTCAAAAGTGCGGCGACCCTCGTCACCTCTTCACCTCCAGTCAATCCCCAGACTAACTAGAGCCAGGACCTCTTCACCCATCGGTCAGGCAGGGGTGGTGGGGCGGTTGTTGTTAGACAACAGGTGCACCAAAGTCAGCCCAGCTGTCATGCAGATAAGCCCGGCTACAGCTCTTAACCTTGTCACTTCGCTTCACATAATCTATGACACAGTCCAACAACTGCTCTGTCAATAACTGCAGGAAAATGGTATTTAGTGTTTTCCTTACAATAAAGTAAGCAAACAAAAGCCACTTTGGGATAATCCACCCCAACCATGACAGTATAAGGTTTCTGTAATACAGCTTCCCTTATCATTACCACCTGCCTCCAGGCTATTCTGTCAAAATATTTAAACTCTTCGGTGTTCCTGTATTGTAAACTAGCCCTGCAGTTTCTCAGATCAAACTTCTCACATTCCAGTATCGTGTTTCAGCGCTCGTGTTCTTCAGTAAGAACTCCTGCTTGCCGTTTACAGGAAATTGACAAAAAACATGGAGGGGGAAGTAAGGATAAAGAGTTCTGAGTCAGGGGGAAGATATGATGTAGAACTCCTCTGTGAGATGAGTGTTGGTGGGGAGTTAGAAGGTGACGATGCAAATCCAGCTTCGCAGGATGTGAAAGAATTCCTGGAAGCCCCGGCATCATTTTTATTAACATGGCTGTGAAAGTGAGCTAATGATGGTTAATTGCTTTTAACAACAGCTTGTAACTTTTGTAAACTAACCAGTGGTTTAAATGCTCACATCTTGCTGGAATTTTGAAGAAAAACAACCTTTTAAAAGAGTGAAAGGGTTTAACCTTTCCCAGTAAGAGTTCTTTATTGAGAGCCAGTAAAAGAAAAACAACTCTGAGCCGAGCTACTGCTTATCAAGAAGAGGTCACTGTTCAGCGGTTTGGTTCCAGACTATTAGAGTACAAAGCCACAGGCTGGAATGAAACAGAATATCTCTGGTGGTTATCTGTGGTATGTGTAGGACTGATATGTAGGGGGGAGATTGAAGCTAGGATCATCTTGGCCCAGTTCGTCCCCTCTGGGTAAGAGCAATCCGTGGGAGGGTATCTTTAAAATACCAAACACAGCAGGTCAACGGGGGCTTTCATGGTCTTACATGTGGTCTACATGTGCTAACTTTTACTGTATTTGTTGCACAACCTGCAGTAAACAAAAGATAGAAGCCGTGTTCCTTTATTGCCGAAGCTAATATGAACCTGGGTGACCTGTTTGCTCTTCATTGCCCGCAGGTGTCAGCCTCAACCCCATCATCGTCTACTGCGCCACCCAAGACGAAATGGACCTGTGGTTTGGCCTTCTGAAAGAGAGCATCGAGCAGAACGGAGGCACCGCTGTCCAACCTGAAAATTACACCAGAGTGAGAGTGAGTCACAGAGGGGAAAAGTAAAGGAGTGCCCCGCTTAACTTTAAAACTTTCACAAATCAAAAAGTTGATTTCCTAACTCAAAAGCATTACTTGACTGTATTTCTTTAAATCTCACTGGCAAATTAGCTTTTGTTTCCAGCCACTCCTGATTGAACAGGATGTGTGTGTTATTGCGGTGACTCATGTAAGGCCGCTGCTGGATCTCATTGAAACTAACTGGGAGAGGCTCGAACTACATTTTGACCCACTTTAAACTGGAGCCCAATCTCACAGGAGGTTCAAATTGGCAAACCTGGATGTACAGTATCAGGGAATTTTAAAAAACCGAAGTAAAGGACTCTATGCCAATTTTGTTATAAAGACTGAAGTCATTGAAAGCATACTGCAGTCAGCTGCCTAACAGACATGCTGCTTATAACTTGCAAACTTTCGCAAAATGGCCTTGTTTTGGCCAGCTGGCTGGCAGTGGGCAGGAACAGGTGAGAAAATGGCTCCACAAAGCTTGAATATATACTGAGTTAGTCCTACACTTCCACTGGCCTATTAAAAACATTTTAAACCTTGCAGTAATATGTCAGAATAGTATTATGTTAAAACTAACTTTTAAAGAAACTTGGTATACCTTGGTAAATAGCCAGTGCCTAGCAACAGGAAAATTTCTACTCGCCCAAACCTGCTCTATGATAGAAAAAAATTAACAACTCAACGTGTGACAAACAAGGCCGAACAAGAAACTAACTTCATCATGCACTAAAAGTCAGCCGGATGGTTTGGGGGTTAAAAGAAATCTCCCAAACATAGCTAAAGAGAACTGTAGCTATTCCCTTTGTGAGATTAAACTGGGATACATGCAGCTATTTTAAAATGTTTAACACATCTCACCAGTGGTTCTAGTGAATTGAATGGAAGCTGTAATTAGGCATCCACTTTTAGGTATTTGGGAGAAACAGGAACTTCCAGGAATAAGATAGCAGGTAAGAAAAAATAACATAAGGAATGCCTTTAATGTCCCTAAGGGGGACATTTGTGTGTGATAGTGGCAAATACACGTATTCAAAAGATATACACATTTGTACATATAACACTTAATAATATGAAGAGAATAATCATTAAGGATTTAAAAGGTTAGCTATGAAGTAGAACAGAAACAAAGAGCTCAAATTAGGATTATGAATTTACTATGAAGCCTATTTTTGTCTCCAATATCTCCTATGTTGGTAATCCTGTCTCACTTTCCTTCTCTTTTTTTTGTACTCTGCAGCTAAACCAGAACAAGTCAGAGGGAAGAGAGGAGCTGAGGAACTCAATCAACAGGGAGCCCATCTATGAGTGGGAGGGCTCTCAGCGGGACAGCCTGGGCCCCATCACCTACGTCACCAAAGTCCAAGTGCAGCACCTGCCCTGCCAGGTACGAGTCCACCGCTCCTTATCAGGAGTGAATCACTGCTCCCGGTCACTTTTTCTCAAAAAACACAGCGTACTGTACAGCTGACTGTAACTTATGACACAAACATGTCTCCAAAGTGTGGGGATTTTTTTTCTTCTCATGATTAAAAGGAGGATAACATCAGCTCTAAAGCCAGGTGACTCACATAGTTTCTAAATTGCGCAACACTCTGCATTACCTCAACACAATGCAAAAAGGTGAATTAAAAGGGAGGAGTCCATATTTTTCCTTCAGAGTCTCCTTACAGTGTTTAAGGACCACAAAGTTGGCTACATGCAACTAGCTGCCAAGCATGTCTGACTCCTGCAAACAGAATCAGATAAGAGCACTATAAATATGGAGGCAGCAGTTAATCAAAGCAGTAGTCCTGACACGTCTTGCATGAATATCAGTTAATTCTTCATGGGAAGCGGCGGCAACCCTATTGAAGTGATTTAGGGCCTGGGTGTGTGAGAGGCATTTGCTCGGCACACAGAGCGACTCAACTCACCTCACAGCTGGAATGTCAGCTGTCTGTCCAGAGACACGCCCTCCACAAGGGAAAGGAAACATAAACTTCGCCGGTCCACCGCACCTTAAAATGCCCTGTGAACTGGTTCGACCTGAGAGCTCTCTGGGAACTCTGTAGAGTATTAAATGATAAACCCTGTTATTCTTTTTCATTGTTTGCTACAGATCTCTATGTCTTATATTTCTTGGAGTTCTCAGGGTTTGTTCCCTTGTGAATTATTTTTAAAACCTGTTTATCTTTCATAACCATAAAGCTGCAGTGTAGGACTTTTTTTAATTTAAAGCACTGTTAAATGGTATGAAAAAAATATGTTTTTCATGCAGAAGATAACACTCCATGCTTTTTCATTTAGTGAAAATTGGGATTAGCAGAAGCATAGCAAGAAAATCCTTATAAGGGTGGCCAGGCACTAAGCAATGTACATTGAGGGGTGGCAGAAAGTTGATAGGCGCCAGAACCTCAGGGTCAATCTACACTGCTTCAACAGGAAAATTAATGAGCAAAACATTTATATTTTCTAAATAAAGACAAACTATACTTTCCTACAGCCTTTGCTAACAAATAGACACATTTAAACATCTGTGCTTTCTAGATAAAAGGTATAGTGGATAAAATTCTTTCAGCTTTGAGTTCTGGGGCGAACATCTTTTCCATTGTCATTACTTACATACTTTTATCAGCAATCATTCTGGATAAAATTAATATTTACAAGTAATAATATCTACATAAATTGATTATTAAGTTTTTTATTAAAATAGTTATTTATCTATGATTTCACTGAAGACTCCTAGATGACTTTCAGAGACACATCATTTTCTCTTTACCTCATATAACACAAAATCTAGTTCTAATAAGATCATGAATGATCATCTTTAATGTCAGTATATTAATGTGCATAATTAACCACATAGTTTTTTGTTGTCAAGTAATTGTTAATATATTAAAATGTTTTGAATATTCCACTTGAGAGTATTGCTGCTGCTACCATCTGTATTTGAGGGGGAAAAAAATGGTAGGGGTTGCCAGATTCTTGGAAAAATTCTGTCTGGTTTATGAAAAAGATATTGCATATGTCAATTCTTACATCTTGAAATATTTGCATTGAGCATTCAATTATACAGCTGTTTAATGGAAATGAAGGTCAGAATCAGAGTAGCACTGATGATCTTCCTGTCAGAGTAGCAGTCCAATATAAAGTAATGTAAAAAAAATACAAAAAAACATCCCAACAATTTTAAATAATTTTAAACAATACTGTTTTATTGACTTTTACATAACTTTACATCCATTTTCAGGTAGTTACCCTGACTGGAAACTCTTTACATCTTCTGCCCTACATCTTTAACGTTGGGCTGTCATCACAGCAATATCCAAAGCTGTGTTTACCTTGACTATTATGACTTTGGGTTGTTAGACATCAGATAGACATCTGCCAAGGTTTTTGTCCATCTTGTTTAAACCTTTAAGTTTTACACTTAGGATTACATTTAAAGGGTTTTCCACAGTAGGCACAGTATAACCGGCTGCATCATTTGAATATAACATGGATCTATCTCTTTAAACCTGCAACACAGACAGGAAAGAAATCAGCTGATTTCTAAAGTAGACAGTACAAATATCAGATATTCTAAAAACAACCTAGAAAAACACTGAAACTTGAAATTTATTGCATGATGAAATGATAACCTACAGTAAAACTGCAAGTGTTTCATTATTATCGTTACTTCACAGGAACAGGATGACAGATTGCTGGTGATGTACCCATCGACCCTAATCTTCTTATCAGAGGAGAGCAATGGGCTCTTCTATAAGGTACTGTTCTCGTCCTAATGGCCTTCTGCTTGTAGATTGTGTTCCCATTACTCTGTATGTGTTTGCATAAAGCAGTTATGTTAAAGTGTTCCTCTGATTACAGGGCAAACTTCCACTCAACATGATTACAGTAACCACTCCCTGTCAGGACGTCAAGCCCAACACCTTTAGGATTGAAGGTAGGAGCGCTGAATCAGTAGCACTCTGACATGTTAATAAGTGTGCATTATGTTGTCTGTTTCATGCTAAGTGGCCCTCTTGAATCTTCTTGCGTCACAGAGTGCAACCCCTCTATGAATGAGAAGGTTTTTTTTTCTGCCTGTTGAATAATGTTCATGCTGTTGCACATTCCAGTGAGCAAGCAGACCGAATGATGGGCTTTGTTCCTCCATCCTCTCTTCACAGGCAAGCTGATCAACCCCATAGTGGTGTCCTGTTTGGACAGGACAGAGTTCTACGACTGGATCCAGCAGTTCAAAGCTGCTGACGTCCCTGTTGTCAGCCCCCCACCCCCCGTCTATGACATCATTTACACGCCAACAAACACAGAGGTGAGGCTGTTCGCTTTCTCTCACAGAGAAAAATGGATGTCAGGCTGTCCACAGCTGATCATTATTGTAAAGATCTGCCCTCAGCTCAACTACTGGTGGCAGACATGGATCTATAGGGTGGTGACAGGGTTATGGGCAGCGTGTGCTGAGGCCTTTTTACCCTGTCAGACTTTTTAAATATCGATAAATGACATGCCCTCATGGAGGCTGTCACAGAACATGCAGAAATTCATAGGAATAACAAATGAATAAATTTCTCAAACTTTTCCCTGTACTAGCCTCACTCTGTGTAACTGTAGGGTAGGATTGTGGGATTAGATGTTTTATTCATATTTAGACAAATAATTCGGCCACACCAACAGTTCACATTTGGATTTAATTTGAATTAATCACTTATTCTGAAAATAAAGAAACCTCATTTTCTGGTTAGATTAATTCAAGTTTGCTTCTTTATCAGTGAACTTCATAGTTATAGACAATGAAGATAAGGAGGTTTTGTTTCCTGCAGCCCTGCTTGGATAATTAAGACAGAATATTTTAACCAGGTTTTGTGTATTTATATGTAAGTAAAAGATTGCATTTTTGTGTCTCCAGCAAACGACAAAGTTTGACAGATGGAGTGGAAACAGCCAGGGGAGAGTGGAGTCTGTCAGATACAGCCAGCCGCCAAGTGGACGCGGGTCCTTAAACCTTCAGCTACCAGTTCATGAGGAAAACCCCATGTCTCCTGGATACGCCGAACCTCTCTGTGTAAGGCAACATTTTCCCACGCAAATGAACAAAATACCAGAAGTTATTAAACTTAGGCTATGATTTGGTATTTGTATCTTCAAAAGTTCAGATAAATTTGGTCCTAGAGAATAAAGCTAATGGCTTAAGTGAGAGAGAACAATTTAACAATTGAACGAAGCAGATTTCTACTGTCGCTGAACAGCTTCAATGCAAAAAAACAGCACGGTGGTTTATGGGTTCCACCTCTTACCTTAATTTCCTGTGTAAATATTCATCTGCCGCAGCCTCTATAATAGCCCAGTGCAAACTTGAAAATAGTTTGAGATCCAAATAAAAGCATTTGCATGAACCGCTTGGATTATTTTAGACTATTTCTAATCTGGATTTCCTCAAAATTATGAATCTACTTCTGGTAAAAGATTAAACACCTATTACCTTTTTACTGTTAGTCCCTATGGGATTTGGATCCTAGTTGCGTCAGGAGGGATGTTAAAACTTTGTGAGCTAAACTCAATGACTTAATATGGCGACACCTGAAAATGGGAGCAGCAGAAAGGATAAAAACAAAGCTTTCATTAGAGAATGAATTGAAAATCCTAAATTAACTATTTCAAAGTATTGAACTAATAAAACAAATAAGAAATAATGATGATGGAGTTGGCATGCACTTCTGTGAAGTGAGTTAAGTCTTTTATCAAATAAATGATCAAACAAGAGTTAAGCCTCAAATAATCCTGATACTGACAGAAAGCCCAAACTTGGAAAATCACTTTCAGATGTTTTTGTTGAAGTTCTAAATCAGCAGAAAAAGTCTGATGGTAAACTTCTTGGTTCTATTTGAAGTCCTAAAGATCTCTGAATTATCAGATCCTCTGACCAAACTCCCCCAGGAGAGGATCCTCCCGCCGATCCAATTATCTTAAAAAGAGGGCAGAGTGCCCAGAAGTAATGTGCTGCTAAACTTTTGACCTTAACCAGCCATCTTCCAATTAATTTAGTGGATGTTTTTCCCATTCTAAAATGACTTTGTTATATATATAAAAAAAAAGCAATAACACTCCTGCTGATGTCGGAAAAGTTTCATGGCTGACTCTCCTTGCTGGATGTGGTTGTTGTTTCTTACAGTATAGCTCCAGTCGCCCATCCTCAGTCGAGACAACCCGCCTGGGCAGCAGGACCAACAGCGTGTCCTCCCAAAACAGACCAGATCGTGACCATAGACCTCTGTCGCTGCGCTACTCCTCTCCGCAGCAAGGCTCCTACCTGCAGCCTGCAGAGAGCTCCCCATTGTCTCAGGTCTACAGCACTCCCTACTACGCCCTGCACCACGCCAGCCCACAACGGCTGGAGAAAGCCCCACTCATAAAGGTAAGTCAGTTTGGCATCAAGCTCGATAATCAAATACTCCCTTTGCAACCGTTGCCTAGCTTTACATGCCATAAAGCAACTGAAATAGAAACCAGCAAGCTCATGGGAGGGTTCATCTGATGGGGTTAACAGATGGGATTAATACAAAGTGGGGTTGAAAGATCAATCAACTTAATGATGCATATGTCTTAATACCCATTAGGATTTATAAACAAAGTGTAACCTAACCTGTTTTCAGATTAGGCAAATCCACCTGATACTTTCTGCTTTTTTAAACACACTTTGATTCTGTTTGGATCAGTCTAACAGCTGGAGCACACCGCAGACGTCCCTGAACTACCCACTAAGCACCAGCCAACGTCACTCAGACCTGTGCGCCCCACGTCAGCCTTTGTCTCCTCTCTACGATGAGCCATGCACCCCAGAGATCTTCAGCCTGGAGGAGGCCAGGCCAGTGGTAAGTGGGTCAACGACACTGGATATTTAGTTTCTTCTTACACCTTAACAGAATGATACCAACAAACCTAGGCACATTGTCAGTGCTGGAAATCTTTTCTCTCAAATCTTTCACAAGATAAATGTAAAGTTAGATGTTAACAATATTTGAGTATGAGCACATTTACTTAGCTGTTTGTGTCTCTTTCAGCAGCAGAGCTGGAACAAACCCATCCAGCACCACCAACCGGACACACATCAACTTCCCTCCTCTTTCCAGCTGCGTACTCCCCCCATGGGCAGACGCACCAGAAGAAGCCTGGTCCTGGCCAACAACAAGGCTACGTCCTTCGACATGGAAATGCCTCAAAGTGAAGAAGAGCAGAGAGCAGAGGCTGTGTCGAGGCTGAAGCTCCTGCCGATGCCCTGCCAAGTTCAAGAGCAGGTGAGGGAGCACAGAGGTCCACACTTCCCAGGAAACTCTAGCTTCTGGAACGCTGGGCTTCAAAGAGAAATGCCAGCGCACTATGAGCGAGTGGAGCTAGTTTATATACTTTTGCTGAAGCGATATTTGAACAGATGCTATTTATGAAAGACCATGATGGTTGTTTGTTGTAGTTTCACATGGAGTTACTTTTTTTCTGTTTCCCCATCTACTGACAGATGCCTCTCCCTTCATGCTCTCAGAGGAACATCTCTCACATGCCATATGGTTACTCACCAGGTACGGACTTATGAAACCTTTCTTCCTGCTTTACCTCAACAGTTCAGCTGTGCTCAAAGTTTGCAAAACTCTCTAGAACTTCAACTAATTTTGTGCAAGTTGAGGCACATACATCATGTGTTTTATTAGTTTTAATCATTTAACTTCCCTTTAGGATTATAAAGATCTTTTTTTAAATTAATTAAATTCGGCCACTAAAAATGAGAAGCAGAAGCAACTGCGAAAGTAAGGCTACGTTCACACTGCAACCTGAAGTGACCCAAATCCGATTTTTTTTGCACAAAAGCGACCTGGATCTGATCTTTTCATGGCAGAGATCCTAATTTTTCCAATCCGACCCAGGCCACTTGGCTATGTGCTCCTGAATCTGATGTGAATCTGATCTTTTCAAATGTGACCTGCATGTGAATCAGGTCATTCATTCAACCTGAACACCATTAGTAACTGACATAGGTCACTATTCTGCTTCTTGCTACACAGAAGCGGCAAGAAAAACAAACACCATGGCGGATGATGATGCGGAGAGCAGTAATTTTTTTAACCATCTTGAAAAGATTGAGGTTTTAAGGTTTGGAAAGATCGCTAGATGTGCTACAGCACTGCATCCATGTTTACTTCCCTAAACATGAAGCATGCTGGCTTGTGACGTCATTGCATCCTTTACTGCACATGTGGGACACTTAAACTGAATGAATGCAGTTCACACAAGAGATCACATACAAGTTGCATATATTTGGCTATATACCTTAAAAACACAATCTTTTCAATATGGTTAAATATAATTCCTGCTCTCTGTGATATCATCCACCATGGTTTTTGTTTTTCTTGGTGCTTCTGCATAGCAAGATGCAGAATAGTGACCTTTGTCGGGTATTAATGCTGCACAGGTCTGATGAATGCGACCTGGCTCTTTAGAGACAGGTCGCATTTGAAAAGATCAGATTCATATCGGATTCAGGACCACATAGCCAAGTGGCCTGGGTCGCATTGGAAAAAATCAGATCTGTGTTGTTCAGACTGTCATGAAAAGATCAGATACAGGTCTCATAATGGCAAAAAAAAAATCGGATTTGGGTCAGTTCAAGCTGCTGTGTGAACGTAGACTTAGATGTGTTTCTGCTTCAACACACATGAGTCAAATAATCAGGTCAAATAGCAGGACTCTGGGGAACTTGACCATACGGAAGAGATAATTTAGCCATTTGATTCAGGTTTGCAGGACACCAAACATCAAGGAGTGGAATTGAGGAACCCAATTTTAAAGGGTTAACTCTGTGCGGCTCAGTAGAAACAAAATCATGCTACACTTTCCAGATTTTGCTTTGTAGAATATTTCTAAAAATATTTTATCTTTGCCTTCCACTAATCTGTGTTGGTCTAAGACATAAAATCTGTAGCCTTAGAAACACAAAAGGGGAAAAAGGTCAAGGCACAACATGTGCGCAATAAAAGGCGTTGACAAAGGTGTTCTTTTCTGTGATTGGTCCGAAAAAAAACAGACACAATCATTGATCCTCTTTAAGCCTAACCGCAGACAAAACATGATTTATGGAAGTCAGCACCATAAAAACCACCACAAAACATCACTTAGACACACTAAAAGGCTTATTTGATGTTGGACGTACTCTGGTTGGATTGTTGGAGCTGTAGCTTCTTTCAGCAAGTTGACAGATGTTGGAGGGTTACAGGAGTGAAGGTGCATTAAGGGTGCATAATGTACCCTTGGAAAGGGGCCTAATTGTGCCTTGTTCCAAGATTAAGATCAACGTTCAGACATGATATACATCTTTGTGACTGACAGCACACAACTGAACCCACTGACAGGATTTTATTGAAAAGAAATACCTCTACAAGGTGCTGACATGTGATTTCATTCCTCAACTTGCATTATGATGTATTATTAGAAGGGAACCTTAGTCTAAGTAACAACGATGAAGGTTAGGCATGTTACACTACAGGATTTACTCTGAGGTTGTAGTTTGAAACAAGACAGCAATAAACCTGCTCTAGGACTTTGTCCAAGTTTTTACAATCAGGGGAAAGTTAACTGGAATCTAACCGACTCTTTCTTTTCTCTCGCCTCTTTAGATCGCCATTCCTACCTCGAACCCACGGACCCAGATGACCAGGAAGTGGACTATGACAACATTTGGGAGTACGACGGTGAGACTGGAATGATTCAGCCGGCTTGTGGAATTTCGACACAGTGGACAGGATTAGACTTTGGGGCCCGGGGCCTTGGTCCCATGGCAACTCGCCAGAGATGGTCGTAAAACAAAACAAAAGGCCGGCGCTCGTCTGGACGTGCTCAAACATCAGATCACTATCAGAGGGATAATAAAAGCCAACGGTTGCAGCTATAGCTGCTGCTGGTGTGTACAGAGTAAAGCAACAAACCTGAGGAAGTGCTTCGTCAGATGTTAGTCGAGCCGAGGACAGAATGGAGAGTGCGAAAGGAAAGAAAACAGTTCGACAGTGACAGACACGCTTTATTTGTCTGGTTCATATGTAGCATTTAAGACTGAAGTGTACAGTGCATCGTGTGTAGCTTTATTATTATTATTATTTTCTATTCATTATTTAAATGACTCATTTGCATTTTTTTCAGGAGTCGCTCATAAACCTATGTTTAATGTTGTTTCTAAATTAAATCATTCCATTGCAGCTTTTTTTTTGGTGAACAGTAAGTTAGTTTGTTTTTGTAAATGTTGTTAATAAAGATAGCTGCGTTCTTAACAGAAATAGATGTGGCTACAACCGATTGACCTAAAGGTGCTAATATTGTAACTACGACCCCACCCCTTTGCTCTGTAAATGTTTTACTTTTGTATTCTGGTGTTTTTTTTTTTTTTATTATTAATATTTGAAATAAAAAAATTGGATACATACTTTTAGGTGTATCTCTGTTTATTTTCAAAATGTTATTTTTTTTAATCAAAATATTGTTTATTTAAAGGGATGCAAAATTATGAGAATCTCAATTTCTAAAGAGTTTTAGCTTATTCTTTAATATATCCTGGTTTCAACTCCTCTCTGTTTGATATCCCCCTTTGCTGAGGTAATCAACAAGACAACATTTCTGTCTGTTTCTGTATGTGCTTCTGTCTGTGTTTCTGTCTGTCTGTCTTTCTATCTGTGTTTCTGTCTGTCTGTGTTTCTGTCTGTCTGTCTTTCTATCTGTGTTTCTGTCTGTCTGTGTTTCTGTCTGTCTGTGCTTCTGTCTGTCTGTGTTTCTGTCTGTCTGTGCTTCTGTCTGTCTGTGTTTCTGTCTGTCTGTCTGTCTGT